CCCGTTCATGAGTGTCATTTCATCAGTGGGTTGTCTGATTGTGAGACACACACAAAGTTCAAACTGGTCATTACATGAAAAAAAAGGAAAATTATCATTCCAAGTAAATTGATCAGAACAGATATGACAGTCTGATACATTTCAATTAGAGTTGATTTTTTATTTGGTAGTGACTCGCTTATACCATTGCTAGTGTCTGATGCATACATTTCCAATATTTTTTGAAACACGCAGCAAAGGTCATTCATTGAAAGCTATGGAGACACTGGTGAGTTATGTCTCAGTTCAGAAAGAAGTTCAGTACGTGATTAAATAAAATGCGACTTTGTTGTATTAAGAATTAAATTCAAAAATTACATCGACTAAACTGCTGAGAAAGGAGAAGATTTCTGTTTGCCATATTAGCCGTTCATAATGAGTTGTAGTTGCTGATTCAATGAATTGCGCGGAAATTTATCACTGATAGTGAATAGTGAACGTAGTTTAAGCGTGCGAAAATGAACCATATTTGATCATATTTCATCGTAAATAACGTAACGAATGATATCATTGGAAAACGAGGGCTTTTTTGAAGTTGGTGATTTGTAACGATCCAATTTCTGCTGACCCCTTCACACGATAAATATTATACCGCGTTTATTGCTGCTCATGAATTAAGTGACTGGAACATGTAAACAATAAAAGATGCAGTTCGCTTCGTGCAAAATAATTGATTAACAACGCCCAATTTTTTTTGATCCACAAAAAAATATTGCAAATATGAATCGATGCGCTTGATTTAATCTATCAAACATAAATTTTCCGTATCCACAAGCAATCTAATGCATCAAACAATTCTACTGCACCACAATTTTCCGCATATTACTCTGAACGAACTTGAGTTCATGTGCTGACTACTCATTGATCAACTTAATCAATCAGAGAAGATGTATAACATGATATCAAACAGTTATTGAATTGCTCCACGATAACAGATGCCATTACGACATCAGCCAGATTCGATACCAGAATCTTTTTATGTTGATGTTGTATGCTTTTTTCGTGATCCCTCAATTTGAATCGCTAGTAAACAGAAATTTCGAACGACAAAAAAATTTCACATATTTTTGTTGAAATTGAAATGCCAAAATATTTGGAAGTAACAGAGTAAAGATGTTTTGTAGAAGTTAAAATTGCAGCGAAGAATGCGAAAGGGAAACACAAAAGTGCATAAAACAAATAGGAACGTAACACAATAACAATTAGTTGATCAATGTCATCACATTATGTCTATCTGAAACATCCGTACGCATTTTGCTCAGGAATGCATGAGTCTGTGTTCGAAATTATTTTTCGTTTGAAGTAATTGCTTACGACATTGCCAGATGCCTAAAAATTTGATAAATGTTGAACTGACAGCGATGAAAGAGATGATCATCAACTCGCTAACCACTAAACAAATACACATAAAAACATTTTCAATGCACTTCTTCCACTAGGAGGTGTTACTCAAAATCGCTCGATTGCGCTGCAACTGTACTTAAGCGGACAATTCATGCTTGCTTTTCAGTCACTTAATTGATTATTGCTATTACCGGTGCTGCTGTTTTTTATTGATAAACGTCCACTGATATTATAAATGGACGATCATATCTCTGTTCATGGTCGCATTAAAGCTTATAAGTTTGTTGCCTACATAGCAATTCTATTCTCGTTCGTTTCTATTTTATCCATTTCAACAGCATTACCGATTGTATACAATTATGTTCGTCACGTTCGACAGCAAATGAAGAATGATATCGCTTTTTGCAAGGTACTCATAGTAGATTGACATAATATTTTTTAAACTTATGGCTGAATTATTTTTCGATTGTTGTGCTTATCACTGCTTATCACTAGGTCACTAGATAATTTTGCTTAAAAATTCAGAATGGTGTGATTACAAGCAACTGACTAACTGCTGTCACCATGATTCAGATGGTCACTTAATCATCCAAACATTGATCACATTCATTTATGTTGTCTGCACGAAAAAGCTACTCTCTGATCACGTTTCTTGTTTTGAAATATTGACGGGTTACCACCTACTGCACGAGGCAGGAAATACTGCTTTGGTCGCGTAGATTCTCCAGAACGGTTTCAACAAATAAAATTCTTGGAGCTCTTCGTCAGCTCATTTTAGGATATTCCATACTAGATGATTCCATCAGTGCTTATTGTAATGAAATTTTGCCAGTTTTAACATAAAATTCGCAAAATTTGATCGAAAGTTGAAAAATAGCAATTCCAACAGTTTTGGACATGCTTTCATTTTTAACTATTTTACAATCTAACTGTAAGACAACTGAAAAATGGTAATATTTATAAAGGATAGTATGAATCTCATAATCGCCATTTATTATTGCAAATTTCTTCCGTTGCTGTTGTCAGTGAAAGTAATATGGTCAAATGATATACACTAAAGTCAATATCGTTGATCTTCCATCACATGTACAGTGGCATAAATCAGGTGGTACCAATCAGTGGTAACGAATGCAAATTGTGGAACAAGCACATCATTGTTAAGAAACATACCATGATATGGCGTACTGAAGGCTATCTCAGGACTAATAAAACATCGTAAGGAGAGTGAAACTTCATGCTAGCCGAAGATATAACTGTCACTTCCGTGATCGTGAGTGCATGTTAGATGGATATATGTGCAACTGACTAAAGACAGTCACTTGATTCACTATTTGCTGGGCACCACCACAATTTAATGTGCATTTAAAATATTGTATCCTTGAGTTCTTCCAGCTTCCAAAAATAACATTGCTGAAATTCTCCCTAAGAACTGGAATCCCTGAGTTCAGGATGAAGCGAGACCAGATTCAAACCTGAACCTATCACGGAAATCTCTCGAACTTAATCAACCGTCTTGGATGGTTGTGCTGAGGCAGTATAGGAGTGACATTTTTCAAAATGACTTATAGATATCGCTGAATAATCACTCAGTGCAAATTGAAACGGTTAATAACAAGCATGCATCGCGAACCTTAAAACAAAGTGATGCAAACACTGCTCCAGACTAAAACTGCGTCTTTCATTTTTGAGTGCGTTTGACCTTCGAATGCACAATCTGTTGCAAACGTCGCTCCGGGAATAATTCTTCCACAGTATTCGATTTAGTGTGGTGAAATAGCGCAAAGTCTAGAATCTCAGACGAACTTGAATATGAAATCGAATGTCTGTGCAGTTTCAAAATGTACTTCGCAGTAAACCTGTCCATTCAGAGTCCATATTCGTTTCAAAATATGAGAATATTCCAAGTTCTTTCAGAATATCGTTAACATGAAAACTGTTCTGGAATTGTACCTTGAGAATCACTCTCATTTGGCAAATCAACATAATGCACTTCCCAAAAAGCGGTTATATTCATTCGTGATTGATGATGCAGAAAAAATGCATCATTAATCGTAAGCACTGCGAATTTTTGTGAACGATCAGAATGAACGACCTAATTTTTTAATAAGCGATCGCAATACAGACGAGAAATTATAGGAAATTAGAAATCGCGTTTGAATTAATGAATAGTGAAATCACAATAGTGAGATCCTCAAAGGGTGCATTTTTTAAGCTACCTCTTGTGATCTTAGAAGTTTCAGAAAAATTATAAGTGCCTGACTGATGTTTAATGATGTCTGATGGATTTTTTTCCATGATTTTACGACCTGATATTATATTTTCTGGATTTAAAAATTTGCACTTCACTATTCACCTCTTGCATTCTGCAGTCAACTAATCGCAGCGTTTTCACCTCAAATATTCTTTATTTTTAAGATTTTTATTTTTGACGGAATTCTATCTGAATGACTGTAATTTCTAGAGCACCTACCACTGAAAACTGCAACTGGAAGAAATTAGGCATCAGAATAAAATGAATTTATTGTCTGTAATGAATTTTAATTCATGTTCAATTTTCAGGCTACGGCACAAGACACCGATGGTGAAATTGTATCGCTAGAAAAGCTCCCTCTGTCTCCTCGTAACAGAACATCACGTCAAATCAAAAACCAATGTGAAGGATGTTGTTTAGTGGGGCCTCGAGGTCCTAAAGGACCACCTGGAAGAAGTGGTAAGCCTGGAAAGCCTGGAGCACCAGGGCTACCTGGTAATCCAGGACGACCTCCAAGCCAACCATGTGAACCAATTACTCCACCGCCATGCAAACCATGCCCACCAGGGCCACCAGGTCCTCCAGGCCCTCAAGGGCCGCAAGGAGACGAAGGAGAGGAAGGTGCTGCGGGCTATCCTGGACCAGATGGAATTCAGGGATTAAGGGGAGCAAAGGGACCGCCCGGCCCACCAGGCCTGACTGGACCACGAGGGCTACCAGGCCGTCCAGGCCGAGATGCACCTAATGAACCAGTGTTACGAGGGGAGCCCGGAGAACCAGGTTATGAAATAGCTCAAAGTTCTTGTTAATATGATTGTTGTTCAAGCAAGGGGATAAAGTGTGATAAAGCGGGGATAAAGCGGGATGAAGCGCAAACACATCGTAGAGTTTATGGAACGCTAATGATTCTATCAACGGCGAACCGCGCGGCTGATACATATTGCACTGAACAAAAGCTCATAGGAATGCACATTCATAGAACAAAATGTTTCTCTGATTACGCCATTCACATGCATAAAGAAATATCGAGATGGAGTATCACAAGGAAGGGTTACTATTGTAACCAATTAAAGAAGCGAAAACGCAATGAGCAATAGATTCTTTCACTGCAGTAGCATACATTATTCATTAAACCATTTTCATGATTTCCGAAAATATTTTATGAGAGTTTTAATGTCATAACTAATTCGAAATGTTCAGACTAGGGTTCGAATGAGCCCAAGAGATGCTTATTGTTAATATTAAACAATGTGTATTGTAGGTTATAAAGGTCCACGAGGTCCACGTGGACGTCAAGGACGAAATGGAATTAATGGGAAACCAGGACCTCGAGGGCCAGCTGGCGCAAAGGGCCGAGATGGTAAATGCGGAAGAGACGGAAAAGCGGGTCCAAGAGGACCGCCGGGACCTCCGGGCCGACGTGGTGAACGCGGTGTATGTCCGAAATACTGCGCTATCGATGGCGGCGTTTTCTTTGAGGATGGAGCACGTCGCTAAGTGATCGATTATTTCATCGTCTATAAATATTCACGCATTTTGTATTCGTCTTTCTTACTGCCTCATCTCTCAAACTGTACGCAATCCAACTTGAACAATCAAAATCTCCGTCGAATTTGAATTGCAACATTTTTTCCAACAAAATTGATCGGTTTTAATAATTAACTTGGCTTCCAATGTTTTCAGCAATTTTTAAATACTTTATATGATCTCAGAGATGTTTTGATTGCTCCTCAAAATTAACTCATGTCGATTTTCTCAGGATCAAATGAAAAATTGTGATGAATTTTCAATGTAATGCTGATCATCAGCGATTGCAAAGGTAAATGATGAAACCTTTGTAAAGGGTTGGTATCATTGGAAGTCAACCAGCAAATCGACAACGATCTGTACCATTACAAATCAGTCTCTGTAATTTCGACTCGATTTATCGCAACTGTTGCCCTCAGCAGGAAGTTTCTCGCCGCAGCAATATAAACTCAGCTATCGATAGAATCACTTCAGCAAACCTCAGTATAAATGCTCCTTCACAATTGATTCCCTCTCATATAAGTCACCAAAGCTGAAAGTCATTGCACTATTGACAAAGTTGCGCTAAATCGCTTGCCAAATGCTCTTTTGATATCGCATGTAAAAATACTGCCGTGAAATGCTGATATTCTGTCCATAACTGACTTTAATAAACGACTTCAAAGACGAATTGAATTGAATATCCAATGGAGTATGTATGATCAGTGCACTGGGCTTAACTTGTCAAGCGGATGATCATTTTGAAGCAAAACTCTGAATACGATAGGGATGAGTAGCAACAGCTATTCATCAAGAATTCACACTATTCACTGGTTCCTTCTTTGGCTTTTTCTCAAATTTTCAAACTCATCAACTTTCTAAACAAATAATAATTAGGCTGCCTGAGTAATCGACTTCAATTAATGAAGGACAATTCGTTCAATAGTTTGTACGAATGAAAGAACTGGGAAAGATATCAATGATTGAATGTGGGACATGACCTATTCAAGCATGACTCCATCTGCTGGATATAAGTGACACCAGGAATCCACCTGATTATATCTGCAGCAATTATAATAGAACTCCCATTTCGAATAGAGAACTAACATTCTGATAAAGGGTTTATTGAATGTAACCAATTTAATGAAGTTATTCGGCGAAGAGCTACAATCGTTCACACTGCAAAAACTTGTGATTGTTCATTAACGTTTGCAGATTTTGCAGTCTTCGGTAAATATACCGTGAATGACAGATTTACATCACAAGGTTCGGTCATAGCTATGAAAATATTATAAAATGCATCACATCACCAGCGTTACCGATAACTTCACAATGATATTGGTGCTAAAAAAACAATGTCTTCAACGTTTTGATTGGGATGACGAACGATTTTAATGACCTCTGGTAATAAGAAAAAAGGACGGGAACGGAAGTGATATTTTGAGAGCGTAAATTTGAAAGTTTGTAAAAAGGGCTGGCAGTTCAGAAATGTCAGAATGAATCAAAAATAATCATTCTACCAAACGTGAAATATCAAAAACAATAAATTTTGTGCTTCATATAACTTGGTAACAATGATTAATATTGATATCAGCGTCACAAATATTACTGATTCCATTGTAACTTACAATATTTATTTCTTATCAGTGTTGTGATAAATTTGTTGATGATGAACAATACATAGCCACATCTCCTCATGTAAGCCGAACTGCTCAACAAAATTTATATTTTTCTGAATCTAAAGGTTTTACGTAATCGAACGGTGCATAGAAAATGATATGTTACTGGACAAACCTAAGAGTACGGTTCGCTTGAATATGGTACGTTACCGATACATTATAAATTGATACATAGTGATGCAGTGTATATAAATTAGCGCACTTCGCTAGTGGAGATATGTTTAAGAAAATAGCTGTATCTCCTTAGGTAAGCAGAACTGCCCAGCAAAATATATGATATCCTGGATCCAGAGGTTCTGCGTAATCGAATGGTGTAGAGAAATCGATATGTTACTGGGCAAACCTGAGAATACCGGTAGCTTGAAGATGGCAAGCCGTATATTGCTATTGCACGTTTTGATATTGATCTATACCGATAGAATGTATATGAATAATCGCCATTGCGCTTGTTGCTGACAGTGAGATAGCTTTATGAAAATAGCCATATCTTCTCAAGAAAGCGGAATTGCTTAGACAGGTATATGTTTTTCTAAATTCAGAGGTTCCGCTGGATCAAACGGTGTACGAAAATCTACATGTTACTGGGCAAACTTGAGAGAACGGTAGGCTCGAAGTGGCAACCCCTATAGTGCCACTGTAATGTGTAGAGTGATCTATGGTGACTCAACGTCACTGAATAAGCGCCACTGCGCTAATTAAGATACCTCGGAGAAATTGGCTGTGTATCCTCATGTAAGCAGAATCGTGCGAAAATATTTATGTTATTCTGAATTTCTCTGACTGAAGTGCTTGAAAAGTAGCATGGGGGTTTCAAACGTTATGCACGTGTCTTCTTTCAAAACTATGAATAGTTCGGATCTATTTTAATCCGCTGCTGAAACGAATGTTTTTGCGTTCATCTCATACATATTTTCTCAAACTTTCATCGCATCTTCCGTTTTAGTGAATGAATGAATTGGTTGAGATATTTCATTTTTAATCGCTGACTAAGGTTTTTTTCGCTACTTTTCGTTGTAAATTGCTGAGATTCATACTGTTTGTGCAACTGATGAATACGTTTCTAGACATACTTCTTTCACTCCAGGAAGCACTTCTACTGGTATGGTAATAGAAATGCACAAACATTGTACGAAAATGAGGGAGTGAGAAAATGTTACAACTCGTTAGCGCCGCTGGCATTATGAGCAGTAGTATATGAATTTAATTAAAATATTAATTATAATTAATACGTTAATATAATACATAATTGTTTAACAACTATTGTAAGGCTCGAATTATTTTCCAACAATCGAACTATCGAATTTGCAACCTCTGCATGAAATTCATCGCTTCTCAAACGCTCCAGCTCGACATTCCCGTACCAGCACTCGCAGGAAGCATCCATTCTCGTCAATCGGTGTCGCATGGTGCAGTATGCATTTATACATTGGTATTTTTAAAAAAGCTCATAACGACACACGATGTTTTCAGACCGCTGAGCCTTTAACATCGTAATACTAGTACTTCTGAAACACTCGAACCCATACTTCAGGATAATTTCCACTTCTTTTCTCACATGGATCTTCCAATTATGATTTTATTTCTGACAATATGCCTCCTATTTGCCGATCAAATCTACCGACCTGATTCAAGATCTTGAAGCAATTTTTCCCAACGGACTAAGAATTAGTGCAATTGTAAAACTAGGGATTATAAAACAGAGCATTTTCGCCCGCGTTAAGAATCAATGCAACAATATACAAACTGTTTACCATGATGATAGCATCAATAAGGTATGTAATCAGAGACGTAAAACTCGATCAAAGACGTATGTATAACTCATGGGTATGCGGCATTTGAAACGAATCGTGTCCTTGGAAGTATGAAATTATTATTATTGCTGTTGTTCTTATCCGTTTGATGACCATTCCTTCGAGCTTTCATTTAGTAATATTTACAGCAATATCAGTAACAATTATAAGACATTCTTAGGTAATCTTATTTATATACTCCAGTGAGAATCAAGGGGAATCATAGTTATTGAGAACCATCTTTTGATATTTTTCATTCAACAATTTATTGTTACAATAATATGGCAGCATATTTCGAATATGAAGGTAATAATTAACCTCGGACTAGTTAAGCTAGTACCCTAAGAAAAGTTTGACCTGAATTTCTTCGCTAAAAGCTTTGATTCTTCACTGATCCTTCAATCAAATGTAACAATTAGTTCAGAAGTTCTAATAAGATTTGATTTTTGCGTTTCTTCCGAATGTATTGTTTTCAATCTTGAATATTATTTATTGTCGTATTAAAAAAATTTGTTATTCTTTCAATTTCTGCAACAGTTCAGTGTGTCAAATAAAATAGAATTAATATCATAACCGATCAACAACTTGTCCGCTCTGTTGTATGAAGGTCATTTCTTTGTGTGAGTAGCATAAATACTTCGTATTGTCGTCGACTTCTGCAAACTTCAAAATCAACACCTAAACAGGCAGCCATTCACAATTCGCATATAAACATGCACGCAATATTCAAAACGGTCGAATTCTGTTACCGATTGTTGAGACGATTTCATATTTGATACAAGTTTGTGTCATTTCTGCTTGAGTGCGTTGATTGTGGGTTTAAGAAGATTTTTCGGGGTGTTTCAGGTGAGATGCACGGATTTGTGCCAAAATAATGATTATAAGTTTATTGATATTGTAATTTGGAATGCCGATCAGGGCTTGTTGAAGAATGAAATATCAGTTCTACCAAGATGAATATCACCAAAGTGCCCGTGTGACTGCAAATATTTCGTTCTCACCACAATCAAAATCTAACGACAACACTACAAAGATAATAATGATAATCTGAACAATAATTCCGCAAAACTGCTTCTGACGAAGGCAGTACTGTAAATAACAATAATGAAAGTGAAACTCTGCAAAATACAGAAGCGTGATCATACGAATAATCTGATTGAATTACAGTGTAAACGATTATTAAAAGAAGTACTTTCAAGGCCCGTGATGAATCAAAAGCAAATGCTTTTTGTGAATAAAATGCTACTCAAGTGGATTGATGACACTGACGTGATTCAACCATTTGAATAGAGTAGTTGCGCATAGGTGATACAAATAGTAAACTGAACACTTTTTGAGACTGTTAATTTAATTCAGCATTTTCACTGCTCAGTATAATTCAAGTTAAATGATTAAGGTTTAAGGCAATAATTCACAGAATAGCAATACTGACTGGGTATATACTAAAAACAGAAAGGGCGCATGTACCAAAAGCAGTGAATAAATCAAGTGAATTGAACCGATATGCAATTAATTCTTATAAGACAGTTGCTATGTGAAAAAATAATCATGCATGCATCTACATTAAACCAAATCTAAGATTCCATTTAATCTAACAATGAACAACAAAATCCTAATTAGCTATATGATCAGATCAAATTTTTACATTGCCTTCCGGCTGGATATAAACAAAATGTCCTCCACTCCGTGAATGGTATGGTTCATCATATAGACGACAATCTAATAGTTTATGCCACTTTGCATTAATACAAGACGAAGCATTTAGAAGACAACTTATTTGAATATGAATCTAAAAAATACGAAATAGAATTGGACACAAAAAAGATAAATATTTGTTTTACATTAGCAATCTTCAGTTGCCATAAATGAATCACGTTTGTGATGTGTTGTTATGAGAAGCAGTTAAGATCCAGTGACGAGATGCTGTTTGCTGAGTTGGAACGAAGCAGATGCTTGAAGGCACTGACATCGACCGATTGTAAGTCATCCGGAAATACGCACTGAAAAAAAAGAGAGTGGTACTTTTAACGCTGCAAAGAACAAGCTGTTCACAAAAGACGTTTATCAGTAAAGTTTTCGCTCGGTCACGAATGGAGTTCCCATCTCCTCTACCCCTACCCCCTCGCTTCTTCCCCATGCAACATTCCTTAAGAATGGCATATTGATATGAAATATTCGGTAATGACTGGTTGATGAATCACAGCGAACAATTAAGTAAACAACTTAAAATTCCCACGCCAGTGTTAAACTACCGTTATGTAACTTGAACGTTTTGCCATTATTTGAAAGTACGACCCCATAAAATTCGTTTGTCATTGAATTGCCTCTCGAAGAGAGAACATTTTTTCACAACAAGTCTCAGTGAATCGTGTTTGCAAGGGTGGAAATATGAGTGTTTCATTGTCGTTTCTATGCCATTCTCACAAATACGTACCAAATATTATCGAATAAATTTGTTATTGTTATTATTTATGTTTTTATTCTTCCTCTTTCCTTATTTGTTTTTATTCTTGCAAAAGAAATAGCGTTGAAAAATGATGACAGTTGATGTGAATAAGCGAAACTTTTTTAATGTTTTTCTTCGTCTGCGTCTTCTTTTATCGTTTTCCCAAGGACATGTGCTTGTCCGTACCAGTCAACCCTACCTATGCACCCATAATGCGATACTCTTTATGGTGGTTTATTTTCTTGTTCGATATGAATCGAGAATTTCACGATGAGTCTTCTTAGATATAAACAAATTTGTGTGGTGCGTGCATATACCTATTTATGAGTATAATTCATTTTTTCATTCCACTTCTTCGATGCATTTTTTCATTTTCGCTTACTTGATGAAATATTTTAAATGATGAGTTCAATGTTTTTTCAATGGTTTCTGTGATTGTGTATGTGACAAGTTCGGCTTTTCGAACGATCTTATAAAAACAGCAAAGTACTCTCACCGTAAAATAAAATGATTTTAGGTTTCTGAAAAAAAGCGAATTCAAAGACCTATCCGAATCTGATCGCTCGTCATCGAGAGATCAACAATTCACAGAAAAGAAATATCACACAATTCATTTGTCATTAACGAGAGCATCAAAGAACATTCGTAATCACCAGTTAAAGGCTGTCACTTCAAAGACCAATGCCAAACCATCAGCAAACATTCTATGTCGAACACAAACTTCGTTCGATATTTTCGAAACAAATGCAATCAATTATGAATCTCACCTCATCATCCCCATACTTTGAATAGTTTCCCTCTAAACGTAAACTGTTCTTAACGTCTTCCGTTTGCTCGTTCAGTTGCTCGAGCTGTTGCTCAAGGTCCATCACTTGTGACACCGTATCAATAAGAATCTGGAATTGTTATTTGATATGATGTGATACATTGGATAGGCAATCGACAAACATCGATGATCGATTCATTCAACCATTTAAAAGAATAGTTGAATGATTTTAGAAAATAATCAGTTGATGATGAAAATTCAACCTGATAAGCGTTTCGATCCGATGGTAGCACTGGTACGAGCTGTCGCAGCCGTTCGAACACTCGTGCTTCGCGTTCTGCGGAACGGAATGCGGGATTATACGGTGTGAATGTTAGCAATGATTCGGTGGCATTTGAATAGGCGATTGGCTCGGGACTGTAGGATGTGTCAGGATATGAACGAACACTGTAACTGGGGGACGGCTGTGAGTAATCACTGCACGTTGACGCGGATGACGACGACGAACTGCAGCTGTTCTTACGAACGCGATTGTTGGCTTTTTTGTAGGGATGATGGCGCCGATTCGTGGAATTTTTGTATTGTTGCGCGGGTGGCGATTGAACATTCTGACTGAACAAGTACTGCGACTCTGCACCAATTACCGATGGACAGTGCTGAAAGTTTTTCTTTTACATGCTTTGTTCCCTTTTTCGCATGTTTCACCCAGATTTCACTGTTTTTGCATTCGATAATCGTAACAAAAACCACTGTTATCAAACAATTTACTGTTAGAAACTGTGCAAATGAATAAACATTGAACAAGTCATCATTTATCATTGCGTTGCATGGATATGTTTACACTGAATCACTCTGAGTTCCTTTTTATGATACTTCATTTGAGGACTAATGGACGATGGGATTCAGATGAGTTGTAGTAAATTCATAATTGCATGGAAAATTCCGAATGTTTTTGGACTGGTCTTCAGTCTCCACCAAATGATCAGTTAATCAATCAGATGATTTGATAGCTAAGCAGTTGTGCGATTGGATTCGTCGAATAAGAAAGAAATTTTAGCTGAACGAAGTGTTCACATGAAGAGAATATGAGGAAGAAGCACGTCAAACATTTTATCAAGATATCTGAACTGAGAAATGTTCATTGGACTCAACGTTCGCAAGTACACACGTCTTATTCATACAATTGGCAAAGTATAAATTTTGAAAATGTCACATTTTCAAGCACAGATAATCTATCCATGATTTATCTTGTTCAAATCACTGTTGCAGTTCAGTAACTTCTCAAGTAATTTACATCATATTGGAGAAACAGCTCTAAGCCTTGTGTCTCATAGAGATGCGATTTAATTCATGTGAAAGTCACAGATCTTTTTTCAGTTTGCGCGAAAAGTTGTTTTGCAGTTAGTAAATAAAGAATGCACACGTAATTGTTAACTGCGAAGATTCAAAATCTTCCGGCTGATAGAAGTGAATGGTATAAAAAACTAATGTTGTCATCAAGAATGTAGATTCACTGAGTTTATCAACTGTCGAATTGTGATGTTTACAAAGGTCAACGTAATCAAAACTAAATGTCCATTTCCATACTAACAACGGAATTCAGCACTCAAAACAGAATGATCTGATAAAACATAACATCTAGATGAACATCAAACAATATTCAACAACTTGTATGCTGACAATGTGCTGTGGTCTCACGTGAACGGAGCCGTACCATAACCGTTCAAAAAACATAGATGGCAGGTACCACCAAGAACGATATTTTGAAAGTGCAACATAGATGAATGAATACGCTCTTCGAGACACCGTTATTACCCTATTTATTGTGTACTGGTTTGCTTTTTTTCATATAATCACCGGATGACATCTTCCAAAAAAGGACCTTTGTGAGCTATTGAAGAAAAAACAAAGGTTACTTCTCTTGCAAGAAAAGATGTAAGCCATATTACTCAGCCTTAGATTGAACACATTAAGATGNGTGAGTTAAAACTGAGTAAGATTAATCATTTGGAGAGATTTGATAGTCAGTAAATTGCAATTATGAATACAATGAAATAGAAACAACTAAGAGTTGAAATATTGAAATAAATATATAAAAAAATAAACAACTGAGCAGATGCTCATAATTTGATACATGGAGCGTTGTTTAAACGTAAGGAAGAAGACAAAATTGTAAGCTTCCAAAGACAAATTTTTTTCAAAAAATACAGTATTTAAAGACATGAAGCAAATTTTAATTGAAGCGTTATTTAAACTAATTGTAAGGCAAAATTGTAGGTTTTGCAAAGGATCAAGCAAAGACGAAGAATAAAGAGACTAAAATCAAGGCGCAAATTCTTTGCCACGTTTGTTCAGCACAGTGCACAACGGCTGTATCCATGCATTGAATCGAGTTATGAGGGGCTTTTCTCCTAGCAGTTTCATGTGAATCTAATTATGACAAGCACCTATCGAAATAAATCCGATCGCATACCTCGTTGTTCCATCCAAGCAATGATCTTGTCTTCTCTTGAATTGTTTCACCCAAATATAGACCGCGACCGTATACTTCAGCAGGCATTTTTTCAATGATTTCGATTCAGAATAATTGAACAGCTGGATGAGATTGGTGGACTGATTGAGATCAGAGTGATAACACCAACTGAGTGAAGGTGTAGATGTTTTGGCGTTTATGAGGGCGTTATTGTACGAGGATGATCCCGGTCGAGATAAACCGACTCAAGCAGCAACCAAAATAAGCAAGCAAACAAGCCACTGTTCGATGTGAGCAGCCACAGGGTTAATGATCATGTGCAATTTTCAGTTTCGTGCACGGAACTCGGCTCGTTTCACAGGTGCCAGGGAGAGCCAACCTGTAGTTACGCTAAACGCTCCTCCCTCATAGCCGGTTAGCCGATCGCACATGTCTGTCGCTATCTCATCGCATCGCACTCCTTCGCTCCATTTCTCGACCTTTTCGCACTATTTCTTCCCTATTCTCAACGAATTCCTTGTCACGTAACTAAATTTTTCGAAGAAATTTCTTGATTGTTTTTCTGATAGGGTCTTGCTCAGTCGACCGCTTCTCAGCGAAACCATTCAACGAGCACAACTGTAACCACTTCCACGGTGTCTCTTGTGAGATATTTCCATGAACGCGCGATGTGTCTGTGTGCAGCAGTCTCAAGCTATTTGTTATGATCATATTCGGTTCCATGCTCGAGCATGTCACAGCTGTCGCCAAGGTCAACTGAACTGTAAAACGACTACAATATTAACATAAACCACACACTCATCAAAGCATTTTCATCATATTATGCATATACATACCTGCGATGTATTATTTGTTTGCATTCATTTCTTCGTGCATAAATAGATCTGCAAGTGAATACACAACAATATTCATTCCTTTTGATAATGAATCGTTGTTTTGATTATTTTGTTTAATCTCTTCTCTCATCAAACAGCCATTCATGTGCATTCATCATAATACCAACACTAGATCTCAAATCTAAACAACGACACATAATACCGTTCAGCACAACACGACTGCGGAATATTTCCGCTCTGATCATTGTTGTTGGAGAGCTCATTGCACAACTCAAATTGCTATGAAATGCAGCAATATGACCACTTGAATTTCTTGCCTAACAATTCACTGCTTAATTGAAATAAGTTTGATTTTGGTCGAATGAAACAGCTTCGTAAAGCATTGTGTAACGGGAACAGCATGGCATAGGTTTATTCAGGCCGACTGAAACAACTGAACAAGGCAAAATGCATATTGTAGCGGTTGCGTTGGTCACCATTCAGGAATTGTTTGAATAAACATTTGTGATTATTCATCGCATGATGACAATAGGATCAGTTGAGAACTCATCAAGAACAGATGAAGCAATCGAATAGATTGACTTCCATTCGGCCGATTTTTATCCAATAATTTCATGGAAGAAAGAAAATGCTTTATTTTGTATCAATCGTCAAAAGCACTTGATATGTGATCAGTTTTGCGTTCGTCAACTGAGAGCATCTCTGAAGGTGTTATGCGAAGACATTCAGTCCTGACAGCAATAACAATGCCTTGATTACGGTTTTGAATCATGCTTTTTACGATGGAAATGATTTATTTCATTTATGATCATTCTTATGAACACGCTTCCCCTCGTACTGTCCGGATGTTATCTTAACATTTTATCTTCTTCTCAAGGATATTGAAAATTTTATAATGTGTAATGTAAACATCACGTCATTCACTTGTCTTCGTTNTTGTTGTTTGCTTTCGTTGCTGGGTGTGTGTAAATATAAATTTCGCTGGATCACAACTAATGTTCTGTCTCTCGACCTGAAGTTAAATTTCGTTCATACATCAATCCTCGACTGTGTCCCCGTCATTTCCTGTCCGCAGTCCGTTCAAAACAAATACCTATCTGTGTAATGAATCGCAATCAACAATCGGACCAACAACCACTAGACGCCAAACTCGTTCAACCAAACAACGATCATTTCCAAACTCTGTGAATCCTAAATATTTATTCACAGCCTAAGTATTTATTCACTACAAGATTATTACAGTTGCTATTACCATCAGTATGCATAATTAATTATAATGTATGTTCATTATTATCCGACTGAGAGAACATAGTGATATTGTTTTGCGATAATCTACTGGTGTAGCAAGCTATTATCAGCCGTATACCATGAAAAGTAATCCATTACTGGGCGATTATCGCAAAATCGTGACGCCTTTCAGTTGAGCTTTCGACAAACTTGGATCAGAATGCTACCTCATGCCTATAATTGAATTCGAGTAACGAATGCTATTGTATTGCTAGGAATCGTTGAGCTTGTCGAATCTTACAAAAAACCCAAAGATTTTGATAAATTATACGTCTCATAGTAATGGCTCTTTGATTTTTAAACTCTTGAATTTTGCTGCAAAATCGAGATTATAAAAATGTGTTTGCATTCACTGAAAATGAATAATTGTCTGTGTCAATTTGAAAAAGTCTGTTTTAACCTACGTTGAAATGTACACCTAAGAAAGCGATGCTTACCATGTTTGATTTTGACTGATGGGAATTGACTGCATTGAGTGAGAAGAAAATGGAAATTTTGAATGAAAATAAAGTTTTATTCAGTATTGAAAGTTGCTTTCGAATAGTAGGGAAAGTGTGATTATCTGAAATTCGATTTTTGTTCTCACTTTTGTTTTCAAATCTGTATCACTCTACCTATGAGACTTGCAATAAAATGATTAANAACGAATGCAAATAAATAATCAAATAAATTCATTAAAAAATACATACAAATATGGATTTTTAGAGCAATGCTCACTGCAAAATGTTCTGTCCACTTTAGGCAAATGCTTTGTTAAATTCAGTTTCTGACCAATAAAATATTCATTTATTCACGAAATGCACGCTGTAATGTCGAAAAACAGCGGCATAATATAATCTTTCTAAACGACGACAATAAATGAATGTTGTTGACAGGTAATCAGTTTGTTGCCGGTTGAATTTGTTTACTATCTGTATGCAAACTACTGTTATTATGCAAGTTTTGGACGAAGGGAATGTATTATATATTGTAATGTATAAATAACGCAATACAGCATGAAATAACAGATGCAATTATGCGTACAAAGGATGGAATTTGCAAGATTAATCAACGCATTACTGAAGGAGATATTATTGATGGATTTGTTGATGGTGTTATTGATGATCACTACAAAAGATATTCGAACGCATTCATTTCATCGATTATCAACAGCATTTTGCATGTGTGCACAATGCGCCGGTGTACTACGAGTTGATTGTAACGGATCAGTGAAGGAACACGAACGTTTACATTACTCTAACTAGAAGCGAATTTGCGGAAATCCATCCAAAACATCATGAAAAAACGAAATTTTAACTTCCAAACTAATTGTAACGATGAATGGGTTGAGCGTATATGCGTGAATGAATGGTTTAACGTAGTGTTTTGCAGGGAGAGAAAAATGGGTCGCGGACAGGGACAGGGACAGGGAGAGTCCCTGAAAGCGGCCGCCGCTCGAAAATGGTCGGAAACGGGGACGGGGATTTCGGGGACGGGAATCCTGAATTCGGGGACTCCCCGCGCAATACTAGTTTAACACATGAAATATACTGCATCCTGTCTTATCCAACAGATTCTATTCAGTTCATGGCATGGGAAATAGCAATTTGCTTCCACAAGTTGTACAGGCCAGATTTCTTTGCTATGACGGATTTCGTTGATCTTCGTGAATCAAGTGAATGGTGCTTTCTGACAAGTAGCTGAACTGTGAATTATTCGTTGACTGATTTTAATTTGTCAAATTTTACGGAGATACTTGAGTGCTTTGTTGGTTAGGAAATTGTTGAAAATGAGTGAATTAGAATGATAAGATCAACGATATGTTGTTGTGATCAGTTGCATTTTGATTTAGTACTTTTCTGTAAATCCCTCGAAAAAAACTCATTTAATTCAATTATAATGTTCAAGTAGATTTTCTTGTTCTTTTCACTGATAGACAACTCATTCAGTTAACAGCTGTTTTAGCAAAAGTGTGATCAATAAGCATATTAAGATTTGCGGATCGTTTCCGACTGATTGATCGCTAATGGAGTAAATTGGAACATTTACTTTACATCTAATCGCATCGTCGGTTTTGTTTTTCATTTTTTGTGATTCGATTCGTGGCAATCAATTTTTCTTGATCACACTTTCTTCCGGCTGATGCTCGTTTCGTGATGCTATTTTTCATCCGGTTTTTGGAACCCTAACGATAGTTTTCTGCGGAATTTGTCTGCAGACTTCATTCTACCGACTTTTGCTTTTGGTGTTTTATTGATGAAGAAAATGAAATCATTTATCGTTAAACTCGCAACTTTTAGAACTTGCTGATTACTTATTGGGTGTATGAATGCGAAAAGAAATTTAAAAACAGTATCAAAAAAAATTTTGAAGTGTAAAATGGCGATGCTGATTGCACCACACGATGATGGAGTGCAAACGTTTCCGAATGGCTGTTCGGACCCATTCGTAATGCCGAAACGTTACACCTTTAATGGAGTTATAGCGAACGGAGCACTAGGCTTTGTTTGGTTTGTATTCATTTTATTGCAATTGCGATCACATCCGACCGACGTTCGATCAAATCAAATACGAGAAATTTCGGTCGGAATTTTGACATTTGGATTTCGACGGAACAGCTTTGAAATTCGGTCGGAATTCCGAATGTCGGTTTGTATTGGAGTGGAAAATTTCTCCTCTCCTCTGATTGCTTGTCTCTTGGTGGCGGTAAGTCGGAAGAAAATCGAGTAGTCGTTCGACTGATTAAGAAGTTTGTTGCCAAGCATTCGTCGACTGCATCAAACATATCAAATTTTTATGTTCAAACAAGCATTTATAAAACATATATGGATGGATTATGAAAAAAATCGATCAACAGTGATCACCCAACTTCCTCCATTCCCCTGGCGCCCTCAACTTCACCTAGGGGAATTTCGCACCCATCGAGAACCATTGGCTCGTGAGATTTTTTAAAAGAAATTTTCACTGAAAAATACCATAAATCATTTATTTTCATCTCTCCCTTCAAAACATATGAGGATAAGCCTCAGTGAAGATATGAAAAGACATTAATTCTTTCGTTGAATTGTTAGAAGTAATGAAAGCAAAAATCAAGCGAACCACTGGTATTTGAACCGTATAATTGCAGTTCGGCGACCGATAAAGTGAAGAATCGAACAGTCGCTATCAAAAAGTTTCATTATCCATTTCATAATGAGTTCGCTGCAAGACGAGTCTATCGAGAAATTAAACTTCTGAAATGTATCAAACATGAAAACGTTCGTTTGTAGTTTTATTGGGAACAGTGAAAAGTGTGCAGAATCCGATTTGAACAGTGCTCCGTATTGCTGCCTAAAAATGTGTCTAGAGCACTGGTCCCCATGCCTGGGTGCTCCATTACCTCCCTCTATGGTTCGACAGGCCATCGTTATCATTCCCCCCCCCCCTCATTACCTCCTGACACCCCTAAATTATTCAAAAGTGGGTAATTTCACCCCTAGGGGACCTCAGGTCTAGACCTTGAGTGCAGCTGTGCGCTGAGGCGAATAGTGAGCCTGAATGCAGATGTTAGCGTAAAGCCCTAATCTATGCTTAGCCTAATACATGGGGAACTTTTGAATTTTCGACACGTTCACATTAAACCATTTTGGTCATTGACTGGTATTGTTCTTGATCTATTTATTTGACCTTTTTGCAGCGAGCACTTATAGCATGTAAGTGAACGAATGATGAAAGTCAGCCAAATAGTTCAACAAAGTCAAACTTGTTCATCAATTTATCCATTCATTCAATCATAGAAGTGGCCAGACTCATAGAATCCAAGTGCACAATAGGACACAACTGTTGAAGGATCGTGAAATGATGCTGTTTTAGATAATCACTTTGTTAGACGTATTCTCACCGCAACACAGCAGTGACACTCTACGTGATGTTTATATTGTAACCGAACTGATGGATGCAGACTTATCGAAAGTGGTCAAATTGGACGTCGACAATACGTGCATTTCGTACATGGTTTATCAGATTTGTTGTGCAATCAACTATTTGCATTCGTTGGGCATTATCCATCGAGTTCGTCGTCTTTTCACTCAATTTTGCAAATCACTTTTCACTATCATTCAATTCCAAATGGCATGCATTCTACTGGCAATGTGTTATAATGTTAATGCAATCCAAATGCCTAAAGATAATGGTGAGTCGAGAGAGGACGGCATATTGTTCACATCGACCTCTCATTGAGCACTCCATCAAATGTCCAGAAATTTGGGGAAAAACTATTTTTGCGTTGACTTCACGTTTCCTCTAGCGCAGTGTGACGTTACAATTGCAAAAAGGATCTGAGATTTGAACTCATCATTCAATGATCGCTAACTACAGTGACAAGAAGCACTGATTATGCTGTGTTTAGGCTGTGCATAAGAGTGAAATTATATCCGACTGAATATGAGCATCGTATGACCAAGAGATTTATTTTTCGCAAAAATATGTTTGTGCAATTAGTTGTTGTCGCTGAAATATTGCGTTGTACTAATAACTTTATAGTATATAGCAACGATAACGGTGAAATTTTAAAATTTCCGAATGTTCATGTTTAATTCCATTTGTATTCATATGTATATCGCACGTGAATTATAATATGAATAGATGAAGCAGAATATATATCATTTTGGTGAATATTATCGACGACTTTTGCGTAAATCACTAAAATTACTGACTATTGCTAGCTGAATGCTTTCCATGCTGCACTTGATCAGGACATGCAAATTTTTTTTTTGATTATCTCATATAACATATGCAAGCGAATCAATGGAACAATGCTCGCTTAAGGATCTGAAACCAAGCAACATCGGCGTGAATGGAAACTGCAAGGTTAAGATTCTTGGTTTTGGCTTAGCACGTACGAAAGATGGCAGATTCATGTCACCTTACGTTACCACACGTTACTATCGTGCACCTGAGGTACTACTCGGTATGCAGTATGATGCCAAAGGTAGCAACCTTTTATCGTTCATTATATTGGAATTAAATTGAATTTATATATTGATATATTAAATTTATATATATTGAATTCATTATTGGAATTTATCATTCAATAGTACATCACCTTTCGCTGTTGCCTTGTCCTCATCTTTGTAGTCCTTTATATAAGAATTATTTTCTTGTCACTCCGGAATTTTATTTTAACAAAATTTTGGAACAATGAACCTGTCATTGTGAAGTAACCTCAAAGATTTTTCAGTTGACGTGTGGTCTATTGGATGCATATTAGCTGAGCTTATACTTGGTGTGCCACTGTTTTGTGGAGTGAACACTGTTGATCAGTGGCACAAAATATTGATTATATGCGGTTCACCGAATCAGAATTTCACTGATAAGATGAGCGCAGAGGCAAAGTATGTGACCCAGTTGATGCCCACACAAACAGGAATATCATTCGATAGATTATTCACGGAATCTTTGCTGGCCAGCCGTAACTTTGAAACGGCTCAGGTCGAACAGCATGTAACTACAGAAAAGGGTGTTTCAGCACTTAGTGGTTCGTGAATGTTGCTTATTCACTTCGTTTTCACTTGATGCGTCGATTTATTTCAAAATAGAGAGGGAATGAATAATAATCACCACAGATTCAATCGTACGATAACACAAATCCCGCTGATTCAGTTGCCTTCTATCCGGTAATGAAACGATGAAATTTCTCAATGGATTCTGCGGGATCGTTTAGAATTTCGATTTAGAACGGAGATATCTTATCAAACGTGACACAAATCAAATTTTCAGCGTTCGAAGTTCGTGATTCCATTACGAAGATGCTCTCCATCGATCCAAACGATCGGATCAGTTCAGCAGATGCGCTGAGACATCCGTTCACTAAGTTTTGGTCTGAAAATAGTACTGGATCCAGCTTTATGAAAACTAATGATAATAATAATGATCAAATCAATATTAGTGCTAAATGTAACGATAAAACAGACCAAAACATTGATCAGCTAGATGCATCGATCAGTATAAACTTACACGACTGCGAAAAATATCGACGTAAATTCTTTTCATTTCATCGCAAATATCCGTTTCAATCCTTTCTACACACTTCTTATTCAATGAAACAACTGTTTAACTATCATAAATTTCCACTGGAAATAAGAGTCAATAGTGTAGTAGCATACTGTTCTCTGGAAAAGTTTATGAAACAATTGCAATTTCGACACACTAAATAACTCTTTGACAACGAGTTTTTTGAATGGTTCGTATTGTTTGATGTTCACTCAGTGCATCACCTCACCTCAGCAATCAATTTCTTTATCTACTCTTCAGTAAATGTCTTAAAACGAAACCAATTCTATTTCTTGACAATAAGATATCACATTCCACTTAGTTAAGATAACCATCGCTCAATCGATCCCCTGACAGCTCAATTCATTCATTTCAGAACTCATATTCAACGAGCTTCGCAGAAATGTGTATCTTTAGCGGATGACGTTGAAACGTGCAATATTTATGAATTAGTCTATGTAAATAAGTGATTACACATTCGTACAAAAGATAAACATGTGAATAAATCGATTGCTGTGAAGAAACAATAACGATGGAATCGCTAATAAATTAACCCTTGAGTTGTTGCTCTTTCATGTTTGCTTCATTTCATCGATCAAAAGGCAAAGAGGGATCAGGTTTAAGAGTAATTTCTCAACGACAATTACTAATTAACGTTTTCAAAAACATTTTTCTGTTGTTGTCCTTGGTCCTCTATAACTGCACATCCATCCTCCTTCCCCCAACGGCACCCCAAAAACTACTTCACGCATCCTCAAAAATGTTTTTGTGCATGCTACCGCCTGTCAGTTGTAAATGCCTGTGAAATTTCTTCGTCCCCTATCGTTTTTTGTTCATACCACTTTATTACTTCTATACACAGTCCATGTTCCCTACATCGCTATTAGTAGACGATGTTTCAACATTGCATCAGCAGATAAGAGCAACTGATTATGGTGCGTTTCGGATCAATCGATTGCCGTTGCTTTTCGATAGCGTATTGAAAACACCATCAGCAACACACTTCGTCAGACAACACGCCCTAATCCATTCCATCAAAACACAATCACAACCTTTCAACTGAAACTACAAAAAATATTCTGCCTTCCACTATATGTTCATCAAAAGCTTCGAGTATTTTCCAAGCGATCAAATACCAATTCACTACAATTAAACTCATTTCGAAACCACCGTATGTGCCTCTTCTTCATAGTTCCGGCATAATCATAATTGCTCATTACATCGACTAAAACGTTACCAACTTGAAATGCAAAACATTAAACTTTAAAATGTGAGAATTAAATAAACAGTTTATTAAACAAAGAAAACAAAACATGAAACAACTCGAATAATTAACGATCACTCAATTAACAAACAAACGATTGAATATGAGATACTTTTGGAAATGGGGGACGATGTAGCAACAATTTGATGTTGTAACAAAGAATTGAAGAGGAAGGGAGCAAAAGAAGCAAAACAGATTTTGCTCGAGAGGGAAGTGCGAAGGTATAAGATGCAACAACGTAAAAACCAAGCAAATTGTTCAACAAATAATGATTATTGATAACAAAGTGCACATTCTACTGAATTTCTCGTGATGTACGCGAGTTCACTGGCATGCACATTTACTAGTTGAATGGATCGATAACAAGAGACTATCATTACCCGCCACTTGGCTACAATAACGAACGTGTAATATAATAAATTCGCCAAATATATTTTGCCTTCTTCTATTCTACTTTAATAGTTCATAAATAAAACTTCATATTACCAAACAACAATAACAATAACAATTACATAACAGCAGCAATAATAACAACTATTCAACATCGAGAAAATACGATAGAAACTGATCGAATTAACACATTCGATTCTTCAAATAACAAATTTTTGACACCGTACAGCTAAACACTACTATTGGAAAATCATTACCTCAAGTCAATCTATTCCCAAACTTATACAGAAACAATCAAGAATTGCTTAATCTAACAAAACTATCCATAAATCATTAAATGAAATATATCTCCAATGCAGTTCGATTTTTTCTCCTATCAGTCTTATACCCAAGCATCAACCATTCTCAATTCAACAGATTAAAACCGTAATAGCCCAACCGTAAGTATGACGGAACTGAAATGCTAACATAATCAACGGATGCAAAAATTAGTTTGCACTCAAATTTTAAAAATCCCTTTCAAAAAGAAGAGAAAGGAATGAACCCTTTCCGTGCAAAGAACCACCACGAAGTCCTACCAATTAAAATTTCTTTCCAAAACTCAACTGCCCCATCATTACACTAAAATTCAACTTCAACACGAAGATCTACGGTTGCAAATGCTAAAAATAATTGAAATACAACTAAAATTCTAAATTCGTGACAAACCAAAAGGAATCACATAATACCTCTCCTAACCGGATTATAGCATCACTTAATAAGAATGAAATAACAAACATTTCACAGTGGTACAATGAAGGTGTAATGGAAATCATTGTGGTATGCGTTGAGCAAATTATTATGATTATAATCCATAATCACACAAGTATAAGTTGATTGATATGCGTCCTGATATTAATCGCAGACTTAATACATACCACCCATTCCACCCATACCTCCCATACCGCCTCCCATACCACCACCCATGCCAGCCATTGCTGGCTCTTCTTTTGGTATCTCAGTTACCACACATTCTGTTGTCGCTAACAGTGATGCTACTCCAGCTGCATCCTGAAATTCGGTGATGCAACGATCAATTCAATAAGATCAATGGCTGTTCGAAGCGATTTAAATGGTTTGCTAAGATATGATGCAATGAGATTACGGCGAAGCTAATGACGATCACTTCAAACACGTGTATATTCTCAGCATTTCTGCCGACAACGTAACCGGAATATGCAATCAGTTCATGATAAGTGATAAATTCATGACATGACAATAACGGTAACAAGAACACAGCTAAAATCCATCCGATAAGATGACAAACCTGCAATGCGGTTCTCACAACCTTCGTTGGGTCGATAATACCAGCATCGAACATATTGACAAACTGGTCGTTCAACGCATCATAACCATACGCATGATCCGAGTTGCCGAGAACCTTCTCAACCACCGATGATGGATCAATGCCGGCGTTGCGGACGATCGTTGTGATCGGCTCACGAATTGCTTTCTTCACAATCTTCACGCCTACAACAAAAACCATTTAAAAAATCCTTGGCTGGTTTGTATTCTTGCAAAAAAAAAGACACTATCCAGCAGAGAACAGTCATAAATGGATATTAGACGAACATGACGAAAGTTGAAAACCTTTCAGAGATTAATACAGAAACGAATATCAACTATAACGATATAATACAAATAATAGTGTCCACCTCTAGCTTGATCCAAATTGTCAGTTTTGAGTTTATCGAGAGCGCTGAGGGCACGTAGTAAGGCAACGCCACCACCGGGAACGATACCTTCTTCAATGGCTGCTCGTGTGGCATTCAGTGCGTCTGTGACTCGATCCTTCTTCTCATTCACCTCCACCTCGCTTGCACCACCAACCTTCAGCACGGCTACACCCTTCGACAGTTTCGCTAATCGTTCATTTAATTTCTCCTGGAATCATATTAATACTATCAACAGACAACATCAACCACTCAATGCAGTCAACTAGAAAGAAAATAGCCAACCTTCTCATAGTCCGATGTACTTGCTTCAATTTCATCTTCAATCAGCGCTATACGCTTCTCGATCTCTGCTGCTGCGCCCTTAAATACACATTTTTATTCCACATTTCAAGATACAATGAAAATATAACACAACGATCGATGTTGTACGGCCCCAGAGAGTATGATATAAAATTGCTTGGGTAATTTACTCGCGCTAGCAGAATGACAACGAATGTGCATAATTTTTCTACTAGATTGCCTTCTCTTCATAACAGCAACAGTTGATGCATGTATTTCAGCAAGCCAAAGCAAAAGAAACTTAAAAGTTTACACTGACTTTGCCACGAAGGAGAAGAGTGTCATCTTTCGTGATCGACACTTCTTCAACCTCACCAAAATCTTGAATTTGTGCATCTTCAATCTTGACCATATTCGCCTCATCACCAAATACAGTTGCTCCGGTTGCGATTGCCATATCTTTCAAGGTGTTCTTTCGGTTATCACCAAAACCAGGTGCTTTGACTGCGGCAACTTGAAGACCAACCTAATAAAACCATCTGATTGTTCAAATAACTGACCTCAATTTATTCGCAAATTTGGAAGAATTAATCACGAGCGTTGTCACTATCAACGATGCAGTTGAATTTTATGCATGAAGAACATATCCCGTGACTGTGTCATTGTTCGCATTACAACGTTATACAAGATTTGAGAAACAATTCCAACGCATTTTTATACAAAATCGGTTGAGCAATAAGAAAAACCGATATCAGATTTGTTCCAATTCTCAAAACATATCCCCATTTAATAAATAAATCCAATCAAGCTACTGAATACACCGACTTTAGAAGATAAATTCAATCATAATTAGTCGCACAAAATATTCCGTAACAGCCAAGTTGAGCAAAATTAACCTTCAGTCTATTGAGCACCATCGTGGTAAGAGCCTCTCCATCAACATCTTCTGCGATCACTACCAACGGTTTTCGGTATTTATTCGCAAGTTCCAATGCCGGTACAACTTCCTATGAACCAATGCCAGTATAAGATTATAATTAGTAACGAATCAACATCTTCTTCATTCAACAACCTCATTACTCAACAAAATGAACACAACTCACTTGCACAGAACTGATCTTCTTCTCGGAAAGAAGCAGGAACGCCTTCTCGAATTCAACCTTCGCGCCTTTGGCTGTGTTGATGAAGTACGGCGAGATGTAACCACGATCGAATTTCATACCCTCTATCGTCTCCAGCTCATCATTCATCGTTTTACCATCTTTTACAGTGATCACTCCTTTGTTACCAACCTACAACATAACAGCAATACTAATAATAATCGTAATAATAATGAACTTTACAATCATTACCCCTTTCAATAAACCGATGAGCATATTCTGCCTCAGCAGTCATTTCAACATCAACATTCAATAATGAATACTCATGAAAGGCAAAAAATTCCTTTGGTTCCAGTAAAATACTGAACAAACACTGTACTGCTAAAAGAAACAACCTTCTTCATGGCCTCAGAAATAAGACTTCCGATACTGCTATCACCATTAGCTGAGATAGTAGCAACTTGAGCGATCTCCTCTGGTGTAGTAACCTTTTTACTCATCGATTTCAGTTCATCCACAATTGCCTCGACTGCCTTCATCACACCTTCAACAGATTCGATAAATGAAATAATTTTCGTTATGAAAGTATCACGGAAATGAACAATAACTCCTTAATTATGAACAGATGTCATCAACTCAAAAAATATTAACCTCGTCGAATCTCTACAGGATTGGCGCCTTTGCTGATATTCTCAAAGCCCTCTTTAGCAATTGCTCTTGCAAGAACACAAGCACACGTAGTTCCGTCACCAGCCTCTTCGTTTGTTTTATTTGCCACATCCTGAATTTAATTTCATTACGACTCATACTTTGTTATTATTATTATTATTAT